TGAGTTGCTGTAAATCTTTGATTTATTTCTTCAGATTGCAAAATTGCAAACAAATGGGTTACAGATTACAAAAATGGATTCTAATTATAAATGTGTCCACCTCTAGCTGCAATACATTGGCAGCAGTAATGTTCCATGCTGTCAGTTAAGTTGCCTGTCAATGAAATGGAAAGCAATGACCAGATACTGAGTAGGCCATGTTCAAGCTCATCTAACGACCTTGGAGGAAAACTTAAAGCAGCAGCTTTCTCCCAAGGTAGTCCCAAATATTCTCTATCGGAATCAGATCTGGGCACTGAGCAGGCCATTCCATCTGCTACATACCCATGATGCTCAATATATTCTTCAGTAGCCTGTGCTCGATGCGGACGCCCATTGTTGTTCATCAAAAGAAATCCAGGATCAATAGCAGTGTCATATGGGTGAACATATTGATCGATTCTCAATATATTCTTCAGAAACCCGTGCTCGGTGCAGTCACCCATTGTTGTCCATCAGAAGAAATCCAGAATCAATAGCAGTGGCATATGGGTGAACATATTGATCAAAGATCTTGTCTCGATATCTCACATCATCGAAGTTCTTCTATGGAACACATGTAGGTCAGTGTGACTACTAAGAGCTCAAACTATTATTCCACCACCTCTGTAATTGTCTTTCCACAATGTGGGATTGGTTGTATCTGGTGCATTGTGCCCTTCAGATCAGCTGATGACATAAATCACTTTCCAATGTGAACCTGGACTCGTCTGTGAAGAAAACATGCCCATTGTTGAATGTCCTTAGAGATGTATTCTTTTGCCCAACAAAAATAGCCACCTCTGTGTTCTCTTTTCAAGAGGACACAAACAACTAGTCGGCTTGTATACAGACCTGTATTATGCAGGTGCCTGCACACTGCAGTAGTTGAGATTCTTGTTTTAGTAATGCTGCTCCTCCTTCAGGCCAAAAGAGCTAAATAATGGTCTCCCGCAGGTGTGTGGTGTCATCGTAAATGCAGTCAATAAGGGGAGAATGATGGTAATTATGATGGTGAAAGTAAACAGGCGTGTCAAAGGGTAAAAGGGCAGATATATTTTTTTAAAAAAAAGAGATGTTTTTAGGTCTTGTTCAATATCAGTGTATCAGGAATAAAAACCTTAAATGGAGCTTGAAGTGGATGGTTTAAAAGCAATTACAAATACTTTTCATGTATATTGCCTGACGAAATTTTCCATATTATCAGCAAATACTTGTTTTTTATATTATAAAAGTTTATTGCTTAGCAGTATAAAAATAATTTTTAATGATATAGTACATAAACATCAATAATAAAGTATTTATAACTATTTTTACTAATAGTTTTTCAAATATCAGCATCATTAATGTAGAGTAACCATTTGAAACCAAAATCAGATTTGCGTTAGTATAATGGCTCCTATTATTCTGAATATTATTGGAATAATTTAAAGATTAAATCGAGATAGATATGAGCAATGTTTATATATATATATAATATACATAACATAAACGTACTAACAAGGAAAATTAACCCAGAAAAATGCAAATCGACTGCTATTGAACTGTAAAGAGGAATGTATTAGAGGCAAAATGACAATCAAAATTGCATTTTAGGTAGTTATTACTAATTATAACAGATTAAAGTATTTGAATATGAATATTATTTAAATATTTAAGAAAAAAATTATGACTGTGAAAATAGAAAAAGCTCTCTTCAAATGTTTCCATTCTTATAGAATGCAGATGAATTCATTTATAACTCGATGAAAACTAAAATGTATTAGCTAGTTACTCTTGTTCTCTATCGAGCATGTAAGTTCAGTGATCTGGTTTAATGTGCAATTTCTTTTAAATTTAAATAATTCAAGAATAATTAGGAAAGAACCTATTTCTCTTCTTACCCTTAAATTCTTCATTTATAAAAGTGCATTTTCAGCTATAATCTTGTTAAATAATTCTCTGTATATAACTGAGAGCAGAATAAATAAGACACATAAATGGCTTTGAAATGAAATCAACATTGAGATTCTTTTTTTAAGAAATATATCGAAGGTTATAAAAAATCTAAGAAGTGAAGTAATTTCATAGACAATTACAATCCACCTTCCACTTGAAAACCACTACATTTCTGTATCTAAAATTAACTGATGAACAATTCGAAAGTATTTAATTATGAAAGTTATTTTTTCAGCAAAAAATGAAATGTATTGAATTTAATGAAACTTAATTTATGCAAACATCATTTCTTCACCCACAGTGATTTACAGTATAATTTTTCTTATTCATATTTGATCTGAATTTTGTAGAACTTAACTAAAGATTCAACAAGTGTTTAATCAGTAAATCTTCATATTTAATTTTTTATATACTTATGTGGTATGTTTATTCATATAATAGTATGTGCATCATAAGTATATTAATTATTTCATTTTGTTTTCGTCGTATGTGAAAGCACTTTGATAAATTAAATCTTCCCTTCCCTATTCAGAATTTTCATAGTATAAATGTGAAGCATAATTATGAAATGAAATGAACCAATGAATATAAAATTTAGAATATCTAATTAGATATTAATATATTTTACATCAGAATGATATTATTAGTACAGTAAAAACTCAGCTGATTGAAAAGCTTGGGAGATGCCAAATTCCAGATATGTGAAAATTCTAGATATTCGAGCATATAAAAAAACACAATTCTTGGCAGAAAAGCCAAATGAATGGAAGAAAGAATGTCTGGTCTAAAGTTATAAAAAGAGTTCTTTTATTTATTATCAACTTGAATAATCAAATGCCTAACATATAAATTAAAAGAGATTTCATATTCAAGTATGAAACTCCATTAATCATGAGTATTGGCAGAGATCTTACCAAACAGGCACCAGTCATTTCAGCAGAAGTTTGGAGGAACAGATTGCTCTTTATTTAATTAATTAACACATACAAATTATGGCACTACACATAAAAAACTTAAGTCGCTTGTCATAATTTTTTACATTGAACAGCCAATATTTATCCATTTTCACTTAAGTCATACTTTTCTTGATGCCAGGATCCTGTAAATTTGAAAAAACTTTGCTGCATGCTGTTTGTTCTATTGAAGACCAGTCCCAAATTTTAATAATTTTTTCAAAATGTTATTGAAAAACAGATAAACAGCAGTCATCTTACTTTGTTTTTTACAAAAACTATATCAATTTACTGAGAAATAATTGGGTTTACGTAAAGCCTAAGCGTTAGTAATGCTTATCCATTATTTATGTTAAATCACGTTTTTTAGTGACAATCTTTGTATGATTCAAATCGTAGTCCTATTTGTGTTTTGAAACCAAGATGCATATCTCTTATTTACTTAATTTTGAATTTTTTTTTTAAAAAAGTAGTATGTGAATTCAAATATGTTTTGCTTACTTGAGCTTTTCAGCTAATTGAATGTCTGATAGTTGGGCATTTTCTGTAATTGAATAACATGTTTTGTGCATTATAAAGTGAATTTAAATGCAGTTCATTTGAAATGATGCTACTGTGCAGCTTGGGGAGGGGAAAAAAAACTGGTTTGTGACTTGAGAATGAGATTTCATATTTGAAGTTTAGCGGCTATGGAATACCTAAACAATTAAATGCTAATTAAGACACAATAACACGCCGAATAAATACTAATTCAGAAGTCAAACAACAAAAATCAGCGTTATACCTACAAAATTTTCACAGGACTAGTTTCGATGGTTTTACCGAACCATCATCTTCAGCTGCAAAACCGCAAATGCACGGTCAGTGCAACATTCATTTGCGGTTAACCATCGGTAAAACCATCGAAACTAGTCCTGTGAAAATTTTGTAGGTATAACGCTGATTTTTGTTGTTTGACTTCTGAATTAGTAATTAAATGCTATTTCAATCAATGTGTGTAAATTATATGCAAAGAATATCTGATATATCATTACTGCAAGTAAAGTGAGCCACTGAACAAAATAAACTTTAAAAACGAAATTGGAAAACTATGGTATATCCACTACATTAAGTCTGTATTTAGAAAGTTCTTTACCTTGGGTCAGGAAACAGGTGTATTGAACTACTCCAAATGCACGGTCAGTGCAACAGCACATGCAGTGCTCAGATTGTCAGTAAGATGACCTGTGCTTTGACTTCTGTTGATGCTGCAGCATAGCCTAAAATTGTGCATTTGAAACATATATGGATGTATCAGTGATATGGTTGCATTATATCTGATAAATCATGTTAGTTTGCAGCATCATAATAGCTGCATCCAAGTTTGATGACAGCCCAGGCGCAGATATCATGACCCTTGCATTAAGTGGCATCATAACATAGGTTTGCCACTGGATTTTACTCCTGTACCTACCTGATATATGCTGGAGGCACAGTTGGCCCTAACTACATTTCTGAAATTTTGGATATGGTTCTTTTCCCTTAATTTCAAAACTTGCTTGCGACCATGTTTCAGTAGTATGATGGGTGACCGCATTTGTCACAAAACCATCAACAATTCTTCATTGTCTACCAGATTGCACTGCTGCTGTTGCTCTCCATTCTTCTGATATATTGCCGGTCGAATACATCTGGCTTTATAATTGGCAAGTGACTGGTCCACCAAACACCACTTGTAGCTACATTAAATGAACTTAAGCAGCGTGTGAAAAGAGCGAGTGCTGACATACCTCAAATACATATGCATAGCCTCTTTTCTTCAGTGCCAAAAACATATCATAGCAATTATTGCCAGCCACATAAAATACTGATTTCTTTGTATTCTACAAATTGAATGGGAATGTAATTTGAATTATTTCACTTTCATGCCATATCCTAATTGTCCATTCAATATGCTGTTACATTTTATATGGCCAGATGTCTAATTTGTGTCCTTTTTTTAATATAAAGAAATAGTCAATGATTAATTGTCATAAGCAGTTTATTTCGTATTTTAGTATTACCTGTAAATGGTCAATTGCATTAATTTCTTTTCTATTTTTAATTTTGCAGGATATTTTTCTGACAAAATTGGCAGAAAAGGAGTTTTGATGTACATGTCTACTCTGTTATTAGCAGGATGGTTGCTTATAGCATATGCCACATCATTACCATTTGTATATGCTGGAAGAAGTCTAACTGGAATATGCTGTGGTCTGATTTGTGTTGTTACTCCTATGTATATTGTAGAATTATCACCGCCAGCAATTAGAGGTAAACTGGGCTCCATGTTCCAGTTGTATATCTGCATTGGAATAATTATTTCTGCTACATTTGGTTATTTCTTGCCTTGGGAATGGGTAGCTGTGGCTGGAGCAGCTTTTGCAGTTCTAGCACCAGTTTCTCTCCTTCCTATGCCTGAATCTCCTAGATGGCTTTACATGAGTGGAAAGCACTCAGAAGCTGTTCAAGCAGTGAAATTTCTGTATGGAGATTCAACTGATGCTTCTCTTGAATTAATTACTGAGAATTACAATACACCGTCCAAGAGTGAACTTTCATTTCGAGAAATATTTCAACCAACGGTATACAAGCCGACATTGCTTTCAATAGCCCTCATGTTCTTCCAGCAATTTTCTGGGTCAAATGCTGTATTGTATTACACTGTTTCCATATTCAAACAAGCTAATAGTTCAGTGGAACCAAGTATGGGGAATATATTTGTGGCAATAATTATGTTCTTTTTTACTCTTTTGAGCAGCTGCATAATGGACTCAGTGGGAAGAAAGAAATGTATTTTTGTATCAAGTTTATTAATGTGCTTATCCTTGAATGCATTCAGTACATATCTATATCTTTCTAACCAGAATCCTGTATTGAAAGAAACATTAGGTTGGATTCCTCTTTTGTGTCTTTTGGTCTACATTGCATCTTTTTCTATTGGTCTTGGACCTATCCCTTGGTTAATGATGCCTGAAATGTCTCCTTTACATGCACGAGGATTAATATGTGGTTTGGGTACTGCATTTTCTTGGATATTTGTATTCATCATTACCAAAAGTTTCCTAGAAATTGAATCACTGGTATATGACTTTGGTGCTTATTGGATATATTCATGCTTTTGCTTCATGTGTTGTTTCTTTAGTATATTCCTTTTACCAGAAACTAAGGGTAAAACATTTGAAGAAATTGAAAGTCATTTTGCTGGAGGACAAGCTCGCCTGCAGCGACTGCAAGAAATTCCAAACAATCGGTCAACTGATTTAGAAGGTTAACAAATATTTTATAAGAATACTGAGAGACATGTAAGAGACTCTTATAGACTAAGAGATGTTAAAAGTATTTATGAAATATAATATCTCTTTTTATTGATTATATGTATTTTATTAGTAATTTATTTTAATTTAGGAGGACAAAATTCTCCTTATATTTATTTCAACAACTCTCAATTCTTTATTCTGCATTTATATTGGGTCAAATTAAATGTCATATATTTATTACAAGGTGTTTAAGTAGAATGAACTATTTGTTTAAATTAAAATGCAAATATCAAAATAAATAATATTTGTAAATAACTTTAAGTTAAGTTCATACATTACATAAAAAATTAATATTTGTTTAAAGAAAATACAGATCTGTTTACATTTTACAAATAGCTGTCATTTATTCATAAAATAAATTTAATGTAAACTTTCTAAATAACAAAATAGTTGTTCAAATTATATTCTGGACTAAATACAAATTTTAATGCAAAAAAAAGAAATCTTGTATCTGAGGGCTTAATATTGAATTATAATTATGTCACTTTTGTTTTAATGATGTAGTTAAAGAAATATAGGGAATATTTTGTCAAATTTAAATTATTTGATGTATGATGGTACTCATGTGTTTCATGAGAATGTATTTATTTGCATGAAAAATGTATAAAATAATGTACTGTTAATAATGTATGCTGTTTCTGTTAAGTTCCGCTGGAGGTATAAATATATGTACCATAGAACTCCAATAATCTGTAAACCTTGGGGCAATGGACTGTGTGTATTATAGGTGATGTTTTTCTTAGTTTTGTTTACATTTCCTCCGTTTTAATTTTTGCTGGACGTATCGATTGTTTGCATTATCTGAAGCCATGAATTAACCTTATCATAATAATTACATAATCAGAATTAGTAGAATATAAAACTGTTATATTTTGTAAATATAATTATTTGCAAAGGAAATAATGCTAATAAAAACGGTGGACACAGTGAAGAAAAAAAGGCTAAAATGAGTGAAAAATATTTTGAAGAAGAAGAAAACTGTTTTATAAAAATGCGTCAAGCTTTTTTTGTGTTAAAAGAATTAAGTACTTTCATAATTACCCTGTCAATTGTGAAACTTTGATACCATTGAACCATAAAAGTTAGCAGAGATCTCACCGAACTTGCACTAGTCATTCTAGCAGAATTCTGAAGGAACTGATGCTTCATTATTTAATAAACAGTCGGTATTTGATGTGCTGTGTTCTTGCAGTTTGTAAAACATTTTTCTGCCACTACTAATATTTATGTTAAGCCTTTTCATTTTACCAGAAACTGTGCTTAAAAGTCTATGAGTACAAACCTCTGTAAGTTTCAGTCTATCACTGTTTTGTCGGCCATTTTCTTTCTCCCATTTAACATGCATTAGTTCTTTTAACCATCTATAAATGGACAGCCCATGAACTGCATTCTTTTTCAACCTTGTTAAAGTTTTGCACATTGCATCATCATTGTTTGTACTTTTTCATAGCATATTGTGATGTGTCCGTTAAGACATATTTTTTAATGGTAGGATTCCATAAATTTGAGAAAATCTGCGGTACTTTTCCGTTTTGCCGGCGCAAGCGATAAAGTCGCCAGTAATGGTACAACCGATGCCAAACGAAATATCCTCGCCGGTAACCTTTTACTTTCACATTTACATTTTCAAAATAAGTCACAAGCCATTTCTTATCAGATTGATTGTTTCTTTCAATACTGGCATACAATTACATAGAAATTTTACCAGATAGTGAATTTTATGCCCTAAGGCCATTCGCGGGCGGTAATTAAGTCAATTAGGATGCAATCACACCGCTCACCCGATGGCGAAAATATAGAAAAGGCAGAGTCAAGGGTTAAATTCATGCATTCTAATGAGAATGCACGAGCAAAGTAAAGCACTGCAATTTTAATTTCTGAGTAAGCTATTCGTACGAATTGAAATAATTCTTGCATTTATACTTGTACTCCAAATTAAGATTTAACTTGAAATTAATGTAGCTAATTACTGAGAGAATTAGATTTTTGTAGTGTAGTTTAAGTGAGATGGGGTCATGTGATGTGAACTGGCAGATTAGGATGTTGTACGCTGAAAGCATAGTAAATTCATAAATTGTCTTTTTACCAATTTATTGTCTTTATTTATTGGCTTCTTTACAAAATTTTAAACTAATATTAAAATATTTATACTTTCAAAATAAAAAGTTCTTAGAACTAACATTTTTCAAAAATTTTTATGCGTGTATGCTGTGTGTTTTCGCCAATAAAGTCTACTTGGCAAGATTTGCGCCGGCGAAACGGAAAAGTACCAAATCTGCTTTTTATTCTATAGAAGACAGGTCCCAAATTTTAATCATTTTTTCAAAATGCAAGAAAATAGTACAGTAAGTAGCAGTTAATTTATATCCTTGTTCATAAAAAATAAAAAGTTTCTTATCCATAATCAGTTGGGGTTACGTCAAACAAAAGTGCAAATGTTATGAATGTATTGTTAGGACAATCTTATCAATAATTCCCATTAAATCGTGCTGCCTGGCAGCAGTTTCATGATTGACAGGATAATACGTAAGTACCAAAAATTAATACCATTAGTATTACTTTCAAAATAATTTTTGTGCTCTTTCAAGAAAGAAAAATAAGTAAATAAACTTTCCAAAAACCTTTACACTAAAATTTTCTCCTTTAATTTATTCCTCTGTTAATACGACTGTTATGTTCTATGCATGTGCATTTATAATTCTACGAGCAGTTAAAAAAAAGCTGAAGCTTAGCTCATTTTTCTTTACTATGTTTTCCATTTTTCATACCAGAAATGTCTCTGCATGTACTATTTTAATAAATTTTCTGTATTCATTGCCGATGTAAACTAGCTTGTTGGTTGCACAGGTGTAAATAAAGCAGCTATAAGGTGTATTTAAGTGGAAATTCAAGCATTAGAAGAGTTCTGGACAAATAAATTCATTACATATGGTATCTACATAAACTCGGAATTAGCTTTAAGAAACAGCAGAATGTATATTCAAAAGGAAGAATCTAAGCTAAAAATTAGCAAAGATTCATGATTCTTGCTTAACATAAAATGAAAATGTTGATGTGTGTGCAGAAAATACTTAATGATTTTAAAAATTAAATACTTAATAAAAAAATTCCTTTTTCAATCAAAAATGTGTACAATAAATAGAATGTATTTTTATAGATATAAGAAAAAAATGCTGTTAAATTTGGTGGACGGAATTTTTTTTAAAGCAAAATTCTGTTTATTTACTTAATCAAATTTATTTATTTTTATCAAAATTCTGTTTACAAATATATGCAGAGAGCTCTGTTATTTAATTAAATGAGTTAAATGGCATTTAATTTGAATTTCTGAAGTATAAAGTTGCTTTTTCTGAGTACAAGTTTCAGCAATCTGGGAAATTATTATTGACACTTTTAATATTTTGCTTTCATTTTTTATATGAAATATACGACTCAAAATAATAATGCTAAATTAACTCGGCTGCTTAAAGTGAAGTACCCGTTATTAAATCATTCTTTAATCATTGATAATATTTTAGAAGAATGTATGAAGAATAGTATTTTATGCATAGAATAAAAATTTTAAAAAGAATTTATATAGTAAATCACAAAATGTGCTTGAAAAATCTATTGCAATGTGGAATAATAGGTTTATAAAATTGAACCAAAAAGAGATTTATTAAATATACTTATTTAGCAAAGTATTTCTGTGTGCATTTGGATTATTTTTGGATATAAATAGCTGTGAATAAATTCAAGTTTATTTTTGCATGTGTTTGGTTTTATAATTTTAATGGGTTCCTTTTCTTAGTTTTTTATTGCAATAATTTTTCATAGTAAACAAAGAGAAAAAAAAAAGACTAATTTATATATCAATATATGTATAGTACATGTTTCAAAAGATTGTTAAATCTCTTTCTGATGATTTGATGAACACTATATGCATGCACACTTTATGTTATGATAATGGATGTGGTATGCTGTACGCCAGTGAAATATTATGGTAATAATTTTATGTAAATTATATTTGTTTTGTACATGTTATAATAAAATGCTCATGCTATTAACATGTATGCTATATGAAAATGCCCACATCACATCACATTCGCGTTAAATATATCTAGAACCCACCTTATGACATTTACAACACTCATTTTCTTTTAGTAATTCGTTAAATAAATATAAGCTTTCAAACTTTCTAAAGAGAAACAAAACTAAACAATTATTTAATTTTTTTAAAACAAAACATTTGCGTTGTACTTTTCCATTTCATTTATGTTTCATTTATACATTTCTAACCAAAGATCTGTGTGTGTTAGAAGCTTGCTTCAAGTGCCAAATTTTTATTTGCATTATTATTGCAAAGTGATATTTTAACAAGTGCGAATTTTTATCATTGTGCATGCAATCTCATGGCATTTTGCAATTGTGCAGATTTTAAACCTTTATAAGTAACAATCAATTTTAGATAAATACTTAGATCTGTTTTACTTAATAATATGGTTTATGTGCATTGATGTGTTGCAATTGTGAGACTTTTAAAATATATGTACTATTAAAAATATGAAGCAGTGCAGATTTACATAGTTTCTTGGTATTTTATTAGCTTGGAAACAGATTTATACAGCAGGCACTGCTTAATGTGATTGATTATATTTGCCTATATATTGAGAACTTAACTAATTTAAGAGATATATAATTAATTTTCATAGCGCATCTCTTACTATGTCAGCATTTGTACAAAATTCACCAGTTTCAAAATTTTTCTTCAGAAAGTGTATCGCATGATGTTCTTGGATTTACTTCAGAAAATGACTGACAGATACCTTTTTCAGTCATTGATTCTGTAACTTCAATTTTTTTTTAATATTTCCGCATGAAAGATATTTTTCATATATTTTTAGCATTGCAAGGTTGTCTAGAATTCTACTTCATTATTCACTTATTAATTCAGCTGATCCTTCTAAAACTTGGAAAATAAGTTTCTTTCACATTGTTACCTTAAATCAAAATCAAGCTGCATTAAGTATTTATTCCCTTACTATATGACATGTCTCTGCTATTTAGCAATTTTTGTTCCCTGTTTCAACCTTATTTGGTGATTTTATTTCAGTTTAAAAAAATTCATGCTGCAATAATTTGATAGCATTAACCACATTGTTGATCACAATGAGCAATGTATTTTCCATATTTCATATAGAAATCACCTTAATTTCATCTGGTTCGATAACAATATCTGAATAACAACATTAATGACAATTATGTTAAATGACACCTATTAAGCACTCAAGTGTACCAATATTGGCAAGAGATCAGAAGTCGCCAACTTATTTACCATATCAAAATGTTAGTGGGTGAAATATTTTGAAACATCAGGCTGCATTTTATTACAGTAAATTAATTTTGTGTGTGACATTTATGCTTCATCTTTACAGAAATATTAAAAAAGGGGTGATTTGTATTTCATCATTCAAAATAGCCATTGTTTTTCTGCTGCATCAAATACTCAGTGTTGCTTATCGATTATAGCACTGTCCAAAATGGGCCCTTGTTTCCTATTTTAAATAATTTTATGATTTATCACATTTTTTTTCTCCTGTGTGTCAAAAAATCATTTCTGTGCTCAACTAATAGTTTCCTTTTTAATGAATAATAAAATTATGTAAGAACTTTATCTCTGCAGTATGAAGAAATTTTGTATTTTAATTCTCTTGTAATAGATTTTTATATTGTAGAATTGTGTTGAATAACTATATTAACAACTTAGCTAAATTTCGATTACATTTTAATTAGCCTTTTTTTTTTTTTTTTTTTTTTTGTTGTTGTTATGGTAAAGGCGGAATTATAATCTGGCAGTAGTTTTGTAAATAGTATTATGTTTTGCATGCAGATTGAACTCTATCCTTGTAAGCAGCTTGTAATTTAAAAAGTATGTTCAAATGAATAGATTTTAAAAGTGAACTGGCTAATGTCCATAGAAAATTTTTTAAATTACGGAGTTATTTTGATGGTAGTTTATGTTATTAGAATACCTTTTGCTGTGTTGAGTTTATTTAACAGGAATCGAAATTAGACTTTCTGGTGAATGCATAAAAATATGTCATGTAGTATCACTGCATTTTTTCTTCTGTTTTGACAAACAAAATATCTGTGTATGTATATATGTATGAAAAATATATGATTCTATGTATTTTTGTTTGAATTAATTAAAATCGTAATTTTATTTTAACAATAAAATAGCTGAGAAATACTTAAGCTCAGAAATCAGTAGTTTGCTTTTCAGCAAATTAAAAACATTAACCTCTTTATCAAAAATTATAAAAACTATACATAATCTGTAAAAAACTTGGATTGTTAGAAATTTTGTTATGAACTTATAATGCAAATGGAAATTGAAAATGAATTTTAGTCGTATACCAAAATATTTATAGTAGTCATTGATTTGGCATTATCATTTTTGTGATGCCCTTTGAGCCTTTTTGGTGGTGTTTGTCACTTTTGGAAATACTGGTCTATTTTATTAGAGATTATTTTACTGCTCATCGCCAGAGGTCTCATTTAGCAGTTTATTCACGTGTTTTCCACTCGACTGCCTTGAGACCTGGTAGAGGCAACTGCCACGACGTCCTAGTTTCTAATGTGTTGCAATAGAGTTCTTCAGCATCTGTAAACAATATTTTGTAGACTTTTTCCCCTCTCAAAAAGACATAAAAAAACAAGGCTGAAAGGGTTAAACAAATTAGATTTGATAATGACAAGTCA